TGGTGGAGCAGGAATTTGAAATGAACATGTCCAATTGGGAATGGTTTGAGGGGATATACGTGCATGAGAAAAAAGAGATGAACATGCGCTTGGTATTGGGATCAAGGCACTTATAGGCACTCTAAGTAAGGGAATAACCTAGAAAAACACATGGGCGCGATCAAGAGTCAATTTTGTACTTGGCGTAAGGACGTAGCCAGGGGTAGCACAAACACCCAAATACACGAAGCTTTAGGTAATTAGGCTGAGCACCAAAAAGAAATTCAAAAGGGGATTTAAGATAGAGAATGGGAGTAAGGAGGCGATTAATGAGGTAAGTGGCAGCTTGAAATGCATGAGGCCATAAAGAGAGAGGAAGTGAGGCTTGATGGAGCATGTTAAGACCCGTGTCCATTATATGCCAATGACAACGTTCAGTTGTACCATTGTGCTGGGGAGTGTGTGGGGGAATAGTTAGGTGGGTGATGCCATGGTTGGCAAAATAGTCTTTCATTTGATTTACTCCCCCCCATTATCCAAGTAAGTGGTCACGATAGATGTTTTAAAGTAGCTTTCAACAATGGCATTGAACTTTGGAAAGCTAGTAAAAACATCAGATTTATGACAAATAAGGTAGAACCAAATATATTTTGTAAAGTGATCAACAAAAATAACATAAAAGCGATAACATTCCATTGAAGTTACTGGAGCCGGGCCCCAAACATCTGTGTAGAGCAGATCTAAGGGACCACGGCTATTGAGAGAAGATACATAAAAGGGGAGCCGTTTGCTTTTATTACAAAGACATGAGTCACAATTTATTTCAGTGGGAGAGGCAGAGAGAGGAAGGGTGCAAGAGGCAACAAGATGGGTGAGAATCCTAGAAATAAGTAGGAAAAAATTCAATAGATATATTATTTGATTTACAGAATTGAGAAATGGAAAGCAGATTTTTCTTGATAGAGGGAGCACAAAGAACATTAGATAAGGAAAAAGTAGTAGAAGGAGTGGAAAGAGTTGCAGTGCCAGTGTGAGTTATGCGCAAACCTGTGCCATCACCTATTACAATAGCATCCAAACGTTCATATTCAGAGGAGAGTGAGAGGTTATTGAGATCATTTGTGACATGATGAGATGCGGCTGAGTCGAGGAGCCAGGTTTGTGACTGTGGTGGAGTAGTGGTGTAGTTGGCAGTGGGAGTTGTATGTGGAGTAGGGTGGACACGAGGGCAACGTTTTGCACTATGGCCTTGTTGATCACACAATTGGCAAATACCTTTGTAAACCTGGCCTAGGCATTTCTTCTAGTACTGATTTGAGCCTTGGTAACCACAATTGAAGTTGGAAGATTGTTGATGCCCATGATTGTTAAAGGTGTTTGGGGAAGAGCCTTTGTTGTTGAAGTGGAGCCTAGAATTATAGGTGTTGGATTGTCCGGACCGTTAAGTGACAGTGGTCGTGATTATTGGAGGCTCAACACGCGCCTCATCGTGTTTGAGAAAATTTTCATACTCCACAAGTTTATCATAAAGGTCTTCAAAGCTGATGGGGTTTTCCCGGGCACAAATCGTTGCAGCAATCTCTTTGAATGCTGGGCCAAGACCATTTAGGACATGGACAACAAGATCAATATCACCAAGAGGCTCACCTATGATTGAGAGCTCATCAGATATGCGTTTCATTGTGTTCAGAAATTCACCCATAAGGCTGGAGTCACGAGTGGTGGCGGTGAGTCGTTCCTTGAGACCCATAACTCTGGATCGTGAGCGATTCGCATAGAGAGTTTTAAGTTTCTCCCATGCCATACGAGAGTTTGTTGCTGAGGCAATGAGTGGCATTATCTGTTTTTAGACAGAGGCAATAATAGAGTGCAGCAGAAGCTGATCTTGTCGAAGCCATAAAAGATGATCAGGATTTGGTGCATCACTGATGGTTTTGGGTGGTTCGAGATGAGAACCATCCACATAACGCATTAGATCGTATGCAATGAGGAGAGCGTTGAACTGAGCACGCCAAGACAAGTAGTTTAATGGCGTGAGTTTGAGGGGCAGTTGTGCTACGGCATTGATTGCAATCAATGAGTTTGGTGCTACAATAGCAGGGGTAGTCACAACAGAGACAGAAACAGAATTTGTTTGAGTGGTTTTAGCCATGAGAATGAGAGGTAGATTTAAGTGCTTGTGGGAGCATGATGCTCTGATACCATAAAGATTCTGACAAGATCAAGAACTAAAATGATAAAAGGACTTACTTTGTATTATGTGACTGTGTGTTTATATAGAGAATACAAGGAGAAAGTATAAACAGAATAAAATTCAAATATCCTAAAAATAAGGTAACTAATATTCTAATAATGAGATAAGTTACAGCAGCGTTGACCCTGGAGATATAACAAGGATATCCAATTGTTGGAGGCATCAGTTATGTGAGGATTATGGGCTCTGAGATTTTGTATTAGCTGGCAAGTCATTTACTCCTATACTTCAAGCATTGCTACTTCTAACCTTGAAACTTCTCTAGATAACAGTTCACTTTTGGTAGCTACCAATAAGGTATTGATCAGTCTAATCTAGGAAGGCAAGTAATCCCAGTAATCTCAACATGTAGCAAGGTGAAAGGCAGGACTATAGATTTTACTAGTAGTGTTGGGAGGTTCTAACTGTGAGGAGGCTCTAATCCAAGTGAAAGGCAAAACCATAGATTTTACTAATAGCGTTGGGAGGTTCTAACTATGAAGAGGCTCCTTAGCCCAAATGAAAAGCAAACTGCAAGAGCAGTAACCTTATTATAGAGCAGCAACATTCTACTTCTCATGATTCTTAGGAGGAGGCTCGGTTAACTGTAATTATTCTTCATGCCTTCCCTTTAAAATCACAAGAAGAGAGCGCTTGTTATCTTCCAAGAGGTTTAATAAATGAGGTTGGGGAGGTGAAGCTAGAGTGGAACTTTAACGATATCTAAGCATTTTAAGCTAAGGAAATGGTATCAAGGGCGGAGCCAGAATTTTTATTTATCTCGGGCTAAACTAAGCATTCATACGACTAACAAAATACAAATATAAACTCATAAACATATATACAATAATACAAATATAAACTCAAAAACACTTACTAATAAAATTGGACTCTTCGATCCTTCCTAAGAATAATCAAGAATTCAATAGCAGTCAGGTGATGCACTAAAAAACCATTTCCACATGCAATCACAGCTAAAACATAGGCAATCAATATGCATTCCTATTTTCTACAATCTTATATAAATTTCTTGAATTCTCAAAAATTAATTAAAAGAACGATGACCTCAAGTGCATCAGTGCATGCATTATCACTTCCAAACCTCTAAAGGGACATCAAGTGGTAAACACATTCTAGCTCATTTTTATCGATCATGATTTAAACTCTAAAGTCTACTAAAGATTTCTAGCTGGAAAAGAGGTCAAGAGGCCAAACAGACAGAATGGCAAATGCAACACTGCTTGAAAAACATATGTGTGTGTGATTCAGGGGCATTTGAATCGTACCTGTTGGGAGATTGGGATGATAATTTAAGCAGGTAAAGTGTAATTTGACCTATATGACAAATGAAGAGAAACTCAAGGCCGTCATTGGACAGCAAGAAGGAAGATTCTCTGCATAGGGACATCCAAAAGCCCCCGCCAAAATAAAAAAGACAACAAAATACATTAAAATCCATAACAACTATTGCAATTTTGTACACCCACACAGCATATATATACTCATAACCAAAGCTTAGATTTTGCCACAAACTAAACTAAGAAAACAACATCAAACCCACCTTCAACCTTCCAATTTTCCTCCTTGATCTCTCCAATGGAGTGGACTAGGGGTCCCACCATAGGCCGGGGCTCCTCCGTCACCGTCTCTCTTGCCGCCACCACCTACGGCCAGCTCTTCGCTGTCAAGTCCACTGAGCGTTCCACCTCCAGCTTCTTGCAAANCCTGTTTTTTTTGGATTGGGTTCGGGTTGACCCGCCCAAGTTGCACCCCGAGTTGGATTAACAAACATGTATTTTGAGCGGTAAACAACACTTCCAAAAGTCATGTCTCTTACACTTATCCCTATTGGGTCGATCCACCATGGACGCCCCGGTTTGAGTCGATAACCCAAGCCAATCACTCTTCAATTAACCCAATATCTAATAGGTTAAATACAGGTGGAAATCAGAAAATTTTGTCCATTGCATGGTGCTTGGTCACAATAACTTGATCAAAAATGGAAAAAGAAAATCAACGACAGGGAACGGTATTGAAAATATACTAGAACTGTCAGGAAAGAAGAAAGAACACCAAATCCAGCACACTTCAAGCATTGCTACGTCTAACCTTGAAACTTCTCTAAATAACAGTTCATTTCTGGTAGCTATCAATAAGGTATTGATCAGTCTAATCTAGGAAGGCGAGTAATCCCAGTAATCTTAGCATGTAGAAAGGTGAAAGGCAAGACTATAGATTTTACTAATAGTGTTGGGAGGTTCTAACTATGAGGAGACTCCCTAGCCTAAGTGAAAGGCAAGACCATAGATTTTACTAATAGCGTTGGGAGGTTCTAACTATGAGGAGGCTTCCAAGCCCAAATGAAAAGCAGACTGCAATAGCAGCAACATTCTACTTCTCATGATTCTTAGGAGGAGGCTTGATTAACTGTAATTATTCTTCATGCCTGCCCTCTAAAATCACAAGAAGAGAACCCTTGTAGTCTTCCAAGAGGATTACATTAGAGATCATAAGGCAGCTTCTCTCAAAACGAAGAACTCCCCACGGAACCAAAAATTATTCATGGCTTGGCAACTTACTATAATCCACCTGCTTTGGTCAACAGTAAATGGAATTACATGTAGTTGAGTGTCTTTAGATGTGTATAATAGTTACACATTTGAATGAAAATGAACTTTAGTTTCTAAAGAACGAAATGAAAATAATATCAAATCTTGAAATGCTTATTAGCAATATATATGCTAAAAAACTTAATAAAACAACAGAATGATCCTGTTGTAGGCTCTGTCTAGCAATGAGGTAGATCAAGGGGAGGCGGAGGCAGGGTGGATGACGGTGTTCCTCCATTCTCAACGACGAAAGCGGTGGCCAGGCCCCATGGCAAGTGCACGTCAAAGTGACAGTGCATCAACCATACACCTGCAAGGGCCACAGTTCCACGAACAAAATTAGTACATGCACAGCAAAGGAATATATATATATATATAACCTGTTTCAACATAGGTATATATTGTATTATTTTGTAGTCTTTTTTTTTTTTTTGAATTACAAGTTTTAAGCAAATACATAACTTTGTCCAAAAATTTAAAATATATTTCATAACTATTTCTCACATTTGATCAAAATGCAACGTAGTAATTAAAAATACTTTTATATATGAATATACGCATGTTATCCTTAATTATGCATGTGATTAAGGTCGGAGGAAAGAACAAGACCCTTAATTATGCATGTGATTAAGGTCGGAGGAAAGAACAAGACCCGCTAATGGAAAACAACAAAACAAGAAAAATATAACAATAAATCTAGTTAAATTAAAAAAAATTAAAAATTTGTTAGTAGACACTGCATACTTTCAAAACTAGGAGAGATAAAAAGAATATAATTTTAAATGAATATTCACCTGGATTGTTAGCCCGGAATCTAATGACAGCCCACCCCCCAATTGGTACAGCAATCGTGTTACGTTTTTGTGGATTGTCAAAATTAAACTTTTTCGGATCGTTCACAGGATCGAAGTTGCCAAACCCTTGAGCCAACACATAGAAGTTGAATCCATGCAAGTGTATAGGGTGATTTTCCACACCAATCAAAGCTGTGTTCTGCATCACCATCTCAACCGTTGCATTAAACTTGACTTTCTTCACTTTTGTTGACTTTGTTGTTATCAAAAGGGATTGATTTAAGCTGTTATTTGCATTAGTGTAGTCAAATATCAATGGTGGTTGATCAGGAAAATCAGTGGTGTAGATTCCATCAACGTTGTTGAAAAAAGCTTGTAACATTGACAACTTGGTGGGGAACTGGAAAGATGCATTGTTCATGCTCGCAGCCAAGCGTTGGCCAAATAGGCCTCCACAGGTGGCATTTGCTGCACATGCAGCAAGGCCCAAACCAATAGTGATAAACATGGGTTCATCCACGTTCAGTGGTACTGGGGCCCAGAAAGGTGAAGTAACAAGCCCAGTTAGATTGCTGAAGAACTTGAAGGCAGTGGGTGTGTCATTGAAGGCTGGTAGCACCGGCATTATGGGTGCTGATGAGGTGGCGTAGTCGTAGACGATTATTCCGGTGGTAGTGGTGTTATCAAACGCTACTGCTCCGTCTGTGCTATCGTAGGCATGTGCTGCCATGTAGTAAGATGCTGGTGGCTGATCGGCGATTAAGAGGACATCGGTGGTCTGGCCGGGGGATATGACGACAACGTCGGTTACATAAGGGTTGGTGTAGGAGGCGTCAACGGCGACGACAGTCATTTTGTGGTTGGCTATCTTGAAGAACAAGTGGTCATTGAGTGCAGCGTTGACAATACGTAGAAGATAGGTTTTTCCTTGTACCACCTTCAACTTGAATGTATCTGAAAGAACACACACACACACACTTGATCATTTGTTAATGTAAATGAAACACCATAAAAACCGAAACTGAAGCTTTAAGTAGCTAGGAAAGTAATCTGGATTGGTGTCGCTTACGTTTTGAAGAACATGGGTAGAGATCACCGGGCTGACCATTAATGGTGAAAGCATTAGAGATGTTAGGAGCACCACCACTAGCTAATGCTTGGCTTTCCACCTCAAAAACGTTAGCATTCCACCACTCTCCTGCAATCACATTTTTCATGGGTTTTGTTATACTAGATTGTGCACTCATGAAATATTTCGAGTCATAGTTTATGTTTTAATTTTATTTTTGCATATTTTTTTTAAAACATAATAAAATAAATACAATTAATACATACTTTCGATTCAAAGTAATGCACTGAACTTATTATAGAATTCTCTTTTGGACATCGAATAACCCTTAAAGTTTTTAGAGACACTATTTATTTTTCATGAAATAAATAGTTTGACTTAATATTATTTGGAACACCATTGTAATGGGTATTGTATATTACAATGTATGCATATATATATATATATATACAAAGAATCACAAACATTTATTAAAATGTGAAAAATAGACGGAGGGAAATACATTTAAAGTTATCCTGACGATTCATCTGAAAATTGGCTGAGTAGATTTGAGAAGTATATTAAAAAAAAGGTTAAATAGTTGGAAGGAAATAAATAACTTTGATGTCGTGAGAGCCTATGAACTTTAATAACGTAAGCAAAAAGAAATGAATGATTTGGATTTGTGAATAGTATCATAGTAGTATTATTTTAATTTTATGTTAAATAAGCCTCGTAGTATCTTTATGCAATGTCATATGAAAAATTATACCAATCATAAATGGTGTACATAATACACGAGGCTCCCGTCATTGTAGAGCGTAGGAATGATTAAATATATACAGTCTTATCCCTGTGAGTTAAGAGACTGTTTTCGCGACTCAAATTCATAACATCTAAGTCATAATAATAATGAATATAATCATTGATAATAATTATGTTCGCATTTTAAAAAGAAGAAGATTAAGGTTTGGACATACACGATGTTAATGAAGTTGGTGTTCAAATAGATTCCATATTGGAGAGGTTAGTGTTGTTTATGTTTTATTTTAAGGATAAAGTAGTCCAAGCCAAGATAGAATAACTCGTCTCGATTAATATCCACACCTACTCTAGATAAATCACACGATGTTGAAGCTTGAAATATTTCAAAAATGAAATTCGAAAAGTGAATAATTTCTTATTAACTTCAACGAAGACTAAACGAGCCAAACTCTACATATTTAAAGTCGTCTAACGTCCTAGCCGGGGAAGGGAAAATAATAAACCACACATTTTTAAACTTACTTAAAAGAAACTTGACAATGTACCTTTTTTTTTTTATTTGTCTTCAATTCTTCTTATTCCTGCGCACGTTTCTCTTCATAAATAAAAAAGTTAATATTACTTTTAGTTTTAAAAGTACGTTTTTTTTGTTAGCTTAATGTATCAATTTTATCATTTTAGTTTCTCAAATATTCAATTTGTGTTACTTTGATCTTTAATTAGATAATCCGTCAAATTTTTTAATGAAAGTAATCACGTGTCATTTTTTTAGACGATATCACATGGCTACCACGTGATCATTACGTCAAAAACTTAATGGTCTGTCTATGTAAGGGTCAAAATGACACAAATTAAATAATTTATGGACCAAATTGATACAATGAAAACTAAAAATATATTTTTTAGGAACAAAAAATGTTATTGACCCTAAATAAAAAGTTGATTCCAGGATCAGAGAGGACTTTTGTACCTAGAACAATCGGGACCTCCTTGTAGGGTTTTGGGAATGGATATGAACAACCAACCCTTGGCCGGATAATGAGTGCCCCATAAATTGTTGCTCGAAGCCATTGGACGTGTGCATGCCACCAGAGAGTGCCTTCCTGTCCGGTGATGGTGAAGTTGTAGACATAGCTCTGTCCAGGCAGCATCGGACACTGAGTCGTATATTCCGGTCCATCGGCCCACCCACTTAGTAACTGGAAAACTCCATGCCTGCATAAATGTAATACGTCCTGAATACATATATACATGAATTGATAGTGATAGTTCTACTTACATAATATCTATCTATTTATATATATATTCAACTGTGTTTGTTCAAGGCTAACGTTGTGTTCTAATTGTCATGACAAGAAAAGCTTGGTCAAATCTTTGAAAAGTCATACACTGGTCATATTCAAAAGGTTATCTAAAGCCATGCTGGAGTATTATTGAAAGAAAAAGCATATGTTCTAGTGTAACAAGTTACTACAGTTTAAGAAGCCACTAGTATATAAAGTTTCAGTAATGTAATGCTGATCAAATTTGAGGATCAAATTAAGAGTTCAAATGATATGATAACATATTATTTAGAGTCTTTATTGAGGCGTAAATGACATGACATCAAATAAAAAAGTTCAAGTCAGCTGCCATGTCATTTGGACTCTTGATTTGGTCCCAAAATTTAATCAATATAGCATTACTCATAAAGTTTTCACTTGTTTGTTTTCAACTGTCAAACAACAAAGGTAGACCATGGACAAAATTTATAATCGATTAACCTATCATACTTATATAATAAATGAGATATTTTCTGTTGCAGTCACTTTTGACACGATAATAAATTCACGATATAGACATTGGAAAATACATAATTAACAATAACATAGTAACCCCATCAAATTAAAATCATTGTAGAAAAATGATCCCCGTTGTATTGTCACAGTTACTACAATTTAAGAGACCGTCGATTTACATTTGCTTAGTTTTGAAATGTAGGGTTTACCAGTGAATAGTTATGTTATATGGTGACAAATTATAGACACGAACGACTAGAGTGTCACCCTCTCGAACACTTATCGTTGGCCCTGGAAGCCTTCCATTGACTGCAGCGATCACTTGCTCTTGGCACAAACGACAGATGGTCACATTTTGCACCTGAGAAATTGGAATTTGAAAGTGTCAACATGAGTTTATACACTGTGAACCTTCAATATAAGAAAAGAAAAATGAGAATAAAAATATTTTCAGTTTTTAGAAAATGTAGTGTTAGACAAGAAAGAAAACAAGCTCGAAAGCGAGGAAAGTAAGCCCTTTGTCCTCCAACCGATCAGATAAGATCAAAAAAAAAGTGGAAGAAGATTTACACTCTTGTTTGTCCTAGCTTATCTATCATGCATTCCTCAAAACCTAATAGGATAAAAGGCAAAAGAAAGAAAGGGAGCAAGAGGAAAGGTCTCAGGTGAAATAAAGTAAGGAAAGATGACCAGTTAAAGATTCACTTAATATTGCATGTCAAAGTCCCGAACCCTAACCCTAATCAATTCAATAAGGGGTTACACCCCAATTTGGAATATTTGGCTCCTCAATGAATTATATTACTGTTCCCCTCATTCATTTTAATTGCTTCTGCTTACACCCAAAATAGCAAAAATACGCCAAACAACTTCTCTTCAAGACAATGTTTAAGATTCAGAAAGAAATGTTGGGATTTCTCACGATTTAAATCCACTAACAAACACACACAATCGAAGAACAAATCAAGAATATAAAGCAATAAGAAACAAGAAAGAACAAGACACAGATTTTACGTGGTTCGGCAATTTGCCTACGTCCACGAAGCTGCAGGGATTTCACTATTGAGAGAGTTGAATACAGAGAGCGGCTGTACCATCCACAATTAACCCTAATCACCAAAACAACAGGGTTTATATGTCCTTCGCTCCATGGACTAAGCCTCAGAAAATTTTCCATTAAAAACCACACAACATTATTTCGGGTCGGGTCATCATCCGGATCACATATACAAACTAGACTCCATAAAAAAAAACCAACAAGAAAAAAAATTAAAAAGCACAAATTTAAATGGGTGAGGGNGCAAAAATACGCCAAACAACTTCTCTTCAAGACAATGTTTAAGATTCAGAAAGAAAAAAAATTAAAAAGCACAATTTTAAATGGGTGAGGGAGATTACATAGAATGAATGCTCTACAATTTCAGCAGAAGCAAATGTTGAAGCTAGAAGAGCTATAGCAAATGTTGGTGCCAGTAAGTACGCCACCAGACGTGCCATGCCAAATACAGGGAGCTATGAGGAGATGAAGAAATGAAGCCAGAAACTCTATTACGAATCTGAAAAGTCCTTAGAGCCCGAGCATGCCAATATGCTTTATCTCAAATACTCTTTGTTCTTTGGAATTGCTTTCCCCAAGTCGTATATATATATAGCTACAAGACCCTTAGTCTTTCCCCCTATAGCGCACGTGAGAAATAGATTAAAAAGGTGGTGATTTTATACTAATGAAACCTTCATTATCCAAAAGGTTGAGTTTGCCATCACGAAACTGCATAAAATGAAGTGATAGTCATCGAATACTGGTTGTTTAAGCAAAGTTAATTCCTTTAAAATTGGTGATTTTGAACTACTTTGATACACTAACAAGGACTAAACTTTTGTTTGTTTGTGCTAATGTAGTTTTTTCGGAAAGTTGGAAGTATTCAACTTAAACCAAAGACATCTCCAACCTAATATTACCCATAATGTATATCAGAATTTTGGCTGGTTACAATTTTATCGTTGTAGTCTTGATCATTAAGGCTGACAACCTGATATCAATCCATTAGGACAATATTGTCTGATTATTAAGATTGTTACACATGAGCTTGTCATCCTTTAATGTCCATGTCTTTGCCCCTTAACTGTATAACGTGAGAGTAATACTATGTTGATTAAATTTTGAAACTAAATTAAGAGTTTAAATGACATGGTAGCTGACTTTGACTTCTTTAATTAGTGTCATGTTATTTAAACCCCAATAAAAAATTTAAATAATATGTTGTCATGTCATTTAAACTCTTAATTTGATCACAAAATTTAGTTAGTATAGTATTACTAATAACTGGGTTCTCGTCTTTCTTTTTCAATACAAACCCCATTAAACCAAAGGTGCAACGTATTTCTTCTTCAATAAAAACTCCATCAACTACGGGTGTCAAAGCTAATCAGTAATAAACAATCTAGAATGTTGAACATTCAAATGATTGTCCTTTATGACATTTTAATTAACCAGGTGGAATTAGGGGGAGTCAATCGTGTTATTCGTGTTGTATTTATATTAAGACTTACAAAAAAATTTTATTTAATGTATTCTGAATATTATATATTAGTCTATATTATTTATTCTGCACATTTAATAATCGTATCAATTTTATAACCATTCACATTAATAGGTCACAGTTGACACCTCCTAGATAAAATCATCCCAAGATCGATGTTTGTAACTTCTGCACTTCTAGATTGAATGGGAGTTGGAAATCAATTGCTATACACTATTAACAACTACTCACCTAATATCACCGTCCTCCTACCTAACCCCATCCCCAAGAAAAAGAAAAAAAAGTAATTATTTCTTGAAATAAAGAACAACCCAGAAACAAAGAAAAATAATCTCTGGAAGGACAAATAAAAACTAAATTATAAATAACACCTACAAGTTCATGTCAGAATCTCAGCCCAAAAGGTCAAAACTACAGTGAGAAGACTGCAGCTGACAAGATGTCCTATCATTTTCACCCCAGCTGTTAAATCAAATGCCCAAAAAACCACAAATAATGAGGCTTGACCAATTAAAATTAAAAAAAAAAGTCAATCTCGCCTGTTGCAACACACTTTCTCGTGTTGTTTATCCGATGACTGGATTGTGTATAGTTCGACTCAATAATTTACAGTTTTCTAAAGTTCCCGAGCTCTAGTTTCCTCGGTTTAATGTGTGTTGAAATTTTTTTATATTGCACTTTCATTAATTGATTGTTAATTTTTAATTTATGAAAAATATGCTAAATTTATGGTTCAATTAGATGAGCTTAATATTTTTAATGTTTCGTTTGGTACGATAAAAAAGTTGGAGGATAAAAAGTTAGAATGATAGAAAATTGGAGAGATAAATAAAACATCATGTTTGAAAAGGAAAGAAAGTAGAAAAGATGGAAAAGTGGATGAATTAACTTTTCTTCCAACTCAGCAAAATCAATCCCTCCAAAATCGAAAGGAAAGTGGATGAAAATTTAATTATTTATGTTGAGATGTATCTTATTTGTTTATATATTTTATGTATACATTAATTTCATATAAAAATACAATGTTAAATATGTATATATATTTTAAAATTTTTTAAAATTTAATTTTAAAAAAAATTAAAAATTAAAAATAAAGAAATTTAAAAAAATTTAAAAATTAAAATAAAAAAATATTTTAAGTTAAAAATATATATATTTTTTCCATCTTAACTAAAGGCGAAAATTTTCGACTCAATACAATGACAGGACTCGAATTTGATAAGAAAATAAATAAGTCAACTCGCAACTCGACACGACACAATTAGTTAAATGAGTTAAGTTAAGTTTGACTAATATTCGACACAAATTCGTAATGACTCAACATGAATCTGACACGACACGACTCGACTCTATTGTCACCTCTAATCTTATCCAGCACAAAAAAAAATTAGTCATTTTTATTTTGCATCCATCCAACCAAACACCAAGGAAGAAAAGTGTATATTTTCTACTTTCCATCCTTGAAGGATAAAAAGTGTATCCTTCCTATTTTTCATCCTTCTTACTTTTCATTCTCTCTACCAAACGGAGCATAAATGATCTATTTTGATGGGGTTATGTACATATTTTAATTAATGTAGTTGAGGTAGTTAAATATAAGTTTTAATCTAATTGTAGCCCATAATGGAAGAGCCCATTAAATTCATTATAAATAGCAGACTAAATCTCATCTCCACTTCATAAACCTAATTTGAATTGTCACATTGAGAGTTGTCTATTGTTTTGAAGAAGGAGATAAATATCTCACCCTTCCTCGAAAAGAAGCTTGGAGATCAAATATCAGGACTCACACAAATATGTTTTAGACCAGGAGTTCTAAATTTTACATACGAGTTATTAAAATTTTGACAATAAAATTTATTTATAATTTTATTTAACCAATTTGGAGGCTTCAAAACTTTTTTATTTTGAAACTTTGGCGGCACCAAACTTCTCAACACAATCGCCGTCAATATGGCCATTGTAGAAGCAAAGACGTCCTCAAACTAGCGCTAATCCTATATGTAAATTTTTGTTGCACGTGATTTTCTTGGTGCACAGATTTTTTTTTTATTCTTTATTTCTTCTCTGCAAATTGCATGAAGTTGCTTTGTCCAATTGTTGTGTTATATTATACGGTGAGGTTGTTATTTTATTTGATTATGTCATATATTTTGGTAATTTATTAAATAATTATTATTTATTTACTTGTTCTGTTGATGATACTCATATAAATTACTGATAGAAATTAATTATTTTATTTTATTATAATATAAATTTGATTGAATTGCTATAATTTATAAAAAGTGGATTGTACAACTGTTAATCATAAACCTTAATTATTTATACAATGAATATTTGTTAATGATCTACATATTATTTATTAATATTGGTAGATTTGAATTTAAATTACTTAATTAATTTTAATAGTAAAAATAGAATTTAGGCTTGAATGCAATGATAGATTATGAGTGATTTATAAAAGTACATATTAGTTAGTATCTCATATTGATTCATCACATAATATTTAATTATGAATATTTGTTATAATATCCGGGTTTGAGAAATTTATAGATTAAAATGGATGGTTGTNAGAAGGAGATAAATATCTCACCCTTCCTCGAAAAGAAGCTTGGAGATCAAATATCATGACTCACACAAATATGTTTTAAACCAGGAGTTCTAAATTTTACATACGAGTTATTAAAATTTTGACAATAAAATTTATTTATAATTTTATTTAACCAATTTGGAGGCTTCAAAACTTTTTTATTTTGAAACTTTGGCGGCACCAAACTTCTCAACACAATCGCCGTCAATATGGCCATTGTAGAAGCAAAGACGTCCTCAAACTAGCGCTAATCCTATATGTAAATTTTTGTTGCACGTGATTTTCTTGGTGCACAGATTTTTTTTTTATTCTTTATTTCTTCTCTGCAAATTGCATGAAGTTGCTTTGTCCAATTGTTGTGTTATATTATACGGTGAGGTTGTTATTTTATTTGATTATGTCATATATTTTGGTAATTTATTAAATAATTATTATTTATTTACTTGTTCTGTTGATGATACTCATATAAATTACTGATAGAAATTAATTATTTTATTTTATTATAATATAAATTTGATTGAATTGCTATAATTTATAAAAAGTGGATTGTACAACTGTTAATCATAAACCTTAATTATTTATACAATGAATATTTGTTAATGATCTACATATTATTTATTAATATTGGTAGATTTGAATTTAAATTACTTAATTAATTTTAATAGTAAAAATAGAATTTAGGCTTGAATGCAATGATAGATTATGAGTGATTTATAAAAGTACATATTAGTTAGTATCTCATATTGATTCATCACATAATATTTAATTATGAATATTTGTTATAATATCCGGGTTTGAGAAATTTATAGATTAAAATGGATGGTTGTCACCAAAGTGGTTCATTCGTTAAAATTTATAGATTGTTCTCATGTTTTTGTTACTGGATGGTCTTTAAATTATAATATACAATTACCTGCCCAAAAAAAGTTATTATATATTGTAGTTTAAAGATGTCATGAAAATATTTTTGTTTAAAAAAATTTTATAGGTTGATATAGATAGTTGCTACCAAAGTGGTCTATTCATTAAAATTTATAGGTTTTCTCATGTTTTGTTATGGGATGATTTCTAAATTATAATATATAATTACTTGCCGAAAGGGGGTTATTGTATATTATAATTTGGAGATGTCATGAAACATTGTGTTATAGGTGCAATAGTCTAGAAGGTGTATCTGTCCAACGGAGATATATTTTTTGAAACTTGAATATTCTCATTGGTTAGTTTCATGAAAGAGATAACCTATAGTATATTGCATTCTCTGCTCAAATAGAAGTTTATTGTGATATATTTGAAATCTCTTAATAAAATATGACTTATTACGTTCAAAGTATATGTTATTTATTTATTACCCAATTTTGTTAAAT